GGCCGGAGGGTGTCTGAGTCTTAACGTCTTTGGACGTAGAGGAGAGGTCGTTCCATAACTCATTTAAGTCGGTGTGTTTCCCACATAGTGTGCTTTCCGTTAACTTTCGGAGTTGTTTCCTTGACGGTTTGCTAGACTCGGGTATACATCGACGAGGACGTCGATCTTCCCCAAGGGGGGGAGAGTGTCGCGAATGTGACTTCAGGTATCGAAAGATACTTGTCGGCCAGTCCTTACGGACACTCTTTCCTTATTGCCATGACGGCAGGAGGTCGGTACTGCTGGTCCCTTTTATGGTCTCCACTCAAGCTAGTTGAGAAACTAGTCATCGCATGTGCACTTGACCAAATGAGCATAAGGACGGAATTCCTACATGCTATTTGTCAAGCATACTTGACCTGGTTAGAGAAACTCATTTGTTGACTTGCACTTACTAGTGTTGGGAACCCCCGCGATATTGAGACTAGTCCCTCAATATTCGCTAGATGATAGCTTACCGTGTCTGCCAAACACCCTCGCTATCATACCCTTTGTGTTGGTCTCATTTCGGTCCCAAATGCTAATTATGGAAAGTGTCTAGATTAGCTCATTTGGCATATCTACGGAATGTAGATATCGGCCTGAACACAATGGTGTTCGTCCCGTGTCCAAATTCGCAATCTAAGGACATTCCATATTTAGTAAGTTTCGGACTTGTCCCAGAGACTAACTCCTGGTACTAAGGGAGGCTTGGGGTGAAAGCCCAAAGCGTGTGTCCCTCAAGGGGGGCTGTGGGGGGTTCCAAATGTATAGTAGGGATAGTGGTTGGAATGCATGTCCGACCACCTGAGACATTAGTTTGGCTCCCGCTGAGCTGTGTCGCTCCTTGTTCTGCGTCCGGCTTGGGTCTAAGCCCAAGCTCCACGCTGCTCTAGTCGGTGGAGTACCCTCCTCCTTGCGTTAGGCCACTGGTATGCCAAAATTGTGCCAAACTCCGTCTGACACCATTTTGTAGGTGCTGGATACGGGGAGCTCGTGGGATTGCACTGGACCCTCGTTTCATAGCGCAACGGGTTTGGAGTTCGGCTCCAAATTCAGGTGCGCTACAGCTGTGTACAAGTGGGATTATAAATTTTATTATCATCCACTTATAAAGCACAAAATAAAGGATTTAGTGTTGGTTTGTTTTCCCAAAAATCTTATAATATATGGTTTATTTAAGGGGCTTCTTACTCAGTGGAAGGGATTTTTTCAACAAGTTGGACTATAAATTTATAAGATTTGGCCCAATATCCAATAAATCAATCCCCCAAAAATTATATATGTATAATTGCTAAAGTGTCATATAAAAGGATCATGAATAAGTGGCACTGTTTGTAGATCCACTAGTGCCTCCTCCTAATGTTCCTCTAGATCCAAGCCCATTAATTAGAGAACCCTAAATGCCAAAAGAAGAGATGATTGGTGAGGTTTAGATATAAATAATGCTGTATACTATTATTAGAGTAGTAGGATTTTAATTTTTCACTCATGTATATAAATTAGGGTTTTTGATATACACATTTCTAATTACACCTCTAATAATTCTTAATTTATATTATATTTAGTAGTATATTGTGTATGCATGACTAGCTTTGACAAGTGGTAAATTTCTCCAACTTATGGCAAAAGTTATTAAAGTAATACTTTGAGAATAAAGTCAAAAGTGCTATATTGAGTAAATTCTAAATTAGCCTTATATATAAAATCATAAGTTTTTGGTTTGCTTAAGTAAACCTATAGACGAACTGTTATGGTAATGGATATACCTAAAATATACTTGAATATTCTAGGATATTCTACCATCTAACAGTTGTTATTCATTTAGATTAATCTTGTATTTATAATTTATTAACATGTTTATAATTTATAAACTTTCTTAAACCCTTTCTAGTATATATTTGTTTTAATTCTATCATCTATAAGAAGAATAACACTACTTTTAAGCAAACCAAGTGTTAACTTATTTGCTAATATTTTTATAAGTTTTAAAACTTCTAAATTCAAATCAGTTTAGAAATTGTTTGGTTCTCTTAAGTGGTGGTATGTGATATACCTAGAATATTCTTGGATATTCTAAAATATTCTGTATATTGTAAAGTTAATAATTTATAAACTTCCAATAAATTCTTTTTAGTATATTTTAGTTTATTCTACCATTTAATGGTTGATATGCAATAAGATCAATTTTGTGTTTATAAATTATAAGCATATCTTATAATTATAAAATTCTTATTGATCAACAAAAATAACAATACTAATAAGAAAACCAAGTGTTGTTGCACCAGTAAACTTTTTATAATTGAGAGATAATAAAATATTTGTAAGATAATTAACACCACCAGATTTTGAATTTAATATATTAATTGATAAGGAGATTCAAAAAATTTCATAAAAGAAAAAGTAGTTTAATTTAATATGTAATAATTTTTTGTTAAAGTATATCTCTTAAATATTAATTGTTTTTTCTAAAATATAGTTTTGATTTTAATGTTAACTTTTTGGTTTGCCATTTAGTGTTTTAAGCATATAACTTTTATGCTGTTTGGATGGCTGAGATTCTGTTGTGATTTTTTTTATTAAATATGGTTTAAAAATATTAATCACATTGTTGGAGTTTTAGCATCTCATGCGAAGGCTGGCAATCGTGATCTAGTATCAGTAATTAAACTTTGTGGGAGCCTATATGATTTCCTATTTTAATCTAGTTAGTGAGGTCATGCATCCCCAGGAATCTTCAAGTAGGGAAAGTAGGGAGCTGTTGGTGAACCCAGAGTCCTAGAATTTTTCGAAGAGCTCCATGATGAGCCAAGTAGCACAGCAAGTGGAGGACTTCGCAGCTGGAGACGATAGTGACTCTGGGCGAGCTCGTCCAAAGGTTGACAGACTAAGATCTTCCACAAGACTTGGAGCTTAAACTCCTTGCTGGAACTTATGAATGATGCTAGGAGGGTGAGGAATTCTTTTATTTTGATTGAGGTCAACACAATCTAGGTGAGTTATAAGTCCTTTTGGCCATCCCAGACTTAAACTCACTAAACTTAAGACTAGGAATAAGTTGGTCTCCTTTGTTTTTTGGTTTTATGATTTTCTCTCTTTCCTTTCTTCCTCAGATACTGCTCAAACTCCACAAGGCCAGTGTATGTTTGAGAATTGAAGAGATTCCAGGTTTCCAATTGAGAACCGACTCCATTGCCAAACAGAGGAAGCTGGACCGCTATGCCTTGGAGAGATGCCAGAGTCACGGTTTTGGCAGTGGCTGTCACTGAACACACTGTTCCTGCCACAGAGCTAGCTGCAAAAGAGTCCGAGCTCGCCAATTAAGAGCTCAAGATTGAACAAGCGGCTGCGGGGCGTGAAGGAAAAACGTTAAGTTCTCTCATCTCTTGAGGTTGATGCTAAAGCTTGCTCTCGTTTCTTCCAGTAATGAACAGTCATCAACTCACATGATTCAAGAGGCAAGTGGGCTCGTTTTTACTTCCTTTTTACGAAGCTTTCTTTGTTCCAACAGCTCTGCCACAAGATGCAGTAAAGCAAACACCAAGAGGAGCCGGAAGTGGTAGCATACACGAAAATGACGATGGTGTATGGTCAGGGTGGTTGAGTGCCCAATGTTATTCTGATTATTATTATTATTGGACAAAGCATAAATATATTCAAACTACGCTAATGCGATCAATAATTTGAAACACATGGATTCATTTATTTAGATTGATTCAGTTTTTATACCTATGACAAAAAAGTAGCTCTGCTTGGAACGTGACCATTTTTTCCTTGTTGTATATTGCTTTTTTATTACTCTTCTTGAAGCCTGGTGCCTTGTTTCCAAGAAAAAACGAAGAGTTCGCTTCTTTCTTTTTCACACTAACGCTAAGTTCAGTGTTCTTCCAGCGTAATGGTCCATAATTGCAGCTAGTCCCGTACAGTCACGCATCCCGGCCGTCTTGTTGCTGTGTTTAGGAAATGTTTCTATTACCAAGAGCCAGAAGAAGTCAAGTGTTTGCATCTGATTTGAGCTGCCGTTCTTCTAAGCGTGTTTCTTCCATATATATCTTGCCGCCTCATCCACACAGAAGTTTGAGTGTGAACTTACACCGCTCTCGCTTTTCTCTTATTTTCTCTCCAATTCTTTGGTTTTAAGCTCTTTTTTTTCCTTGTGCCGAAGGACAAGGCATGGCACAGGCTTGTCAAGGTTTGAGCATGACACAATGGACTGGACTATGGAAACTAGTAAGCAGCAGTAAGTCCTTGATCATGCTTGACAAGGTGTGCCGCGAGATGTGCTAAAGTCAGCTGGTCTCCCTGTCACAAACAAGTGGCTTGCACATGAATATCTAAGCTCTCGGATCAGAACAAGCAATCTGGAAGTCGGATGGACGCAAGAATTTGGGATCTGTTAGTCTATCTTCCTCGATTCCACCTGGATGGAATAGAAGTCTGGCCTGCAAAGATACATATATAAAACATGAATGGGACCGACAAGCCTTTACGAAGTCAGCCTGAAAAGTCTAGTTTTTTTGCTCGCGGTGAACAAATCTAAGATTTACCCAACCTACCATTCTCAAAGTAGTCAAAGGAGCGCTTTTCTATCCTTGTCAACCATTATCTTGCATGCAAATATACTGTTTTCTTGACACTTTCAAGGAACTGTTTTCTTTTTATTTCGTAGTTTTGCTAGTAGAATGCCTTACGTTGTCTAATTCACCAGTCGTGATCATCGATATCGAACAAAACATAAGAACAGAAGTAGATGCGTGTAGTAGAAAAAGTCCTGCTCTGATTAACAATGTAAAACGCGTGTTTGCCGTCTAGAAGGAATTCACGAGTTGTGATAATCGATATCTAACAAAGCATAAAAACAGAACCAACCAGAAGTATAAAAGTGGTGACAAGTGATTATTTGATGTAAGACGTGCGTTTGGCAAAAATCCAAGCCGTGCCCATCAAACAAACAAAGCCGACCTCACTCAGGAACAGAAGTATTAATTGAGAGACGACGTAGAAAACTTCAGTCGTATTGTTTATTACTTTTGACACAGTGCCTTGCTTTCACTTGTGGAACTCCACTACTGATATGAAGTCTACAGTCACGGGAACTTTGACGCTCGAGAAGCCCGACGCCTTGGCGAGCTTCTCAAAATCCTCAAACGTCCTCTCCTTGCCACCCGGATTATAGACGAGCATCAAGAGATCGATGCTGAGAGCCACTCGAGCTCCAGCGCCCGTGTCCAGCACCGAGGGCAGAACGGAATCCACCACAATAACTTTTCCGTGCTCGGGGATGGACTTGTAGCAGTTCTTGAGCAGCGTGATGCAAGCCTCATCGCTCCAGTCGTGCAGGATCCACTGAGTCAACGCACGGTCAGCTCCAGTCCACGATAGTCAACGAGAGGGGGCGCTTGCTTACCTTCATGAAGATGGCGTCTCCTTGCGGGACGCTCACAAACATGTCCCCGCCAACGTGCTCCACACCTGGATATTCCCACATGGAAGTGAGAAATTCAATCGCTTCCGTGCTAGCTAGATTTGTTACCTGGAATTTGAGGAGCCTTGGCAACGACGTGAGGAAGATCGAAGTTGATCCCTTTGATCTCGGGATACTTCTTGAGAATCACCGTCAGAGAAGTCCCGACTCCACCACCAACGTCGACTAGTGTCCCAATTCCCTTGAATCCGTGGTAGGCCTCCAGGATGGCGTTCATGTAGAGCTTAGAGTGATTGGACATGGCGGCGTGGAAGAGATTGTTGACCCTGGAATTCTCCTTTCCCAGCTCAAACTCGGTCTGCCCAAACGCCTTGGTGAAGGGCTCGCCGCCGTCAAGAACAGCTTCGTGGAGATACTGCCAGGTCTCCATGAACACCTAAATTCCCCCCAAAAAAAAACAGAGTGATACTCCGGATCAAAATGCGGATGGAAAGAAGAGAAATTCGAGGAGTTCCCACCTTGTCTTGATTCATGAGGACATGATGCGCCAGAGAGACCCCTCTCTCGTCCTTGATGAGATGCTTACACATGGAAGTAAGCCCATACTTGCGCACGCCCCCTTCGTCCACCTCCTTGAAGATCTTGCGGCTGGCCAAGACTCGCATGATCCGGTCGAGGTAGATCGGCGACATGGGGCTGGAGCACTCGGGGATCTGTGACACGATCTCGGCGGCGGACAGAAGCCCGCCAGGCCCCGCCTTTTCGATCCGCTCCGCCACATCCATCTCCACCGCTACTTTGAGCGCCATGGGCACCGAACACATGGTCGCGAGCTCCATTATCTGGAGGCGATCTTCATCCTCCACGATCACTCCCCCGGCAGACCCCATATCCTCGAATTCTTCGACCGATCGATAAAGATCTTTGCCAGAAGAGAGAGAGAGTAAGAGTGGAGAGAGAGCGAGAGAGCGAGATAGAGAGAGAGGGGGGATAGGGAAGATGATATAGGTATAGAGCAGTGCTTACGCGCTGTAGATTTCTAATTTAACCACCATGCCTACTCTTCCAAGAGCTTTATCTCTCAAGGACTCATAGCAAAAGAAGAACAGCGAAGTCTCGGATCCAGCAGGCAGCAACAATCAGCTCTAATGTTTTTGGGGCCCTTTTTTCTTCTTCTCTTGTGGCACCCATGTCCAAAAGAAGTATCAACTTCAGAAGTTGGGAGGGACCCTTTGCTTGCGTTTTACTCGTTCAAACCGTGTTATGAAATTGTTACACGAGAAAGGGTAAAAAGTTGGCGGATTACTTACATGTGGCCATTTCCTATGCAACGTAAGCGTGATGTCGCAAGAAGCCACACGGACTCTGTAGTTGCCAAAGGGCGTCTGCTTTTAAATCTCCGCTTTCTCGTAGCTGATTCTCAGAGCTTCCCCAAAGCTCGCACTCTCTCCCCTCACTCTTTGTATCTCGACGGAGAGTCTTTCCCTGCGATCGACCAATTGAATCGACGCTGCTCACTCAAGTGGTATCACTCACTCAGTCAGTCATGAATCTCTCCTCGATCATGGGCGAGTACACACAGCATGACAATTTCACGGCCGTGGCCTCGCTCTCGCTCGTCCTCGCCGCCGCGATTGCGCTCCTCGCTGCCTTGTTCTCCCGGCTGAGGAACTCCAAGCGCCCGCCGCTGCCCCCATCGCCGCCCTCCAAGCTCATCACCGGCCACCTCCACCTCCTGGACCAGCTTCCCAATCAGTCTCTGTACAAGCTCGCCAAGATCTACGGCCCGCTCATTCAGCTCCGCCTGGGTGTGGTGCCGGTGGTGGTCGCGTCCACCGCGGAGATGGCCCGGGAGTTCCTCAAGGTGAACGACTCCGTGTGTGCGTCCCGGCCGAGGATGGCCGCCCAGAAGATTATCACGTACAATTTCACGGACATCGGGTGGGCAGCGTATGGTGCTCACTGGCGGCAGCTCCGTAAGATTTGCACGCTGGAGCTCTTCACACACCGGCGGATGCAGGAGACGGCGAAGGTTCGAGCCCGGGAGCTGGCGGACACCATGGCCGGCATTTACCGCGACCGGGAGACGAGCATCAACATGAACACCCGGATCTTCTCGCTCACCATGAACGTGATCAACCAGATGGTGATGCGCAAGAAGCCATTCTCCGGCTCCGATACCAAGGAGGCGCGGGAGTTTATCGACCTCATTAATGGAGTCTTCATGGTGTGGGGAGCGTTCAACATTGGAGATTACATTCCGGGACTTTCCATCTTTGACTTCCAGGGGTACATCGGCATGGCCAAGGTCCTCCACAAGAAGCTCGACCATCTCCTAGACAAGGTAATTGAGGAGCACATCCAGCGGAGGATGGCCAAGTCGGACGAGCCGCCGGACTTCGTGGACGTGCTTCTCGCGCTCACGCTCGAGGACGGGAGCAAGGTCAGCCACAAGACGATCAAAGGCATAATTGTGGTAAGTGATCCTTTCCCACTGAGTGGGTTCTAGTCAAAAGTGGGATCGATCATTCGCCCATGACGAAGAGAGATCAAAGACGAGAGGGGGTGGCGGGCGATCTCGAGAGATATTTTATTTGATGTCTATCTCTTCTCTTTGTGCAGGACATGATAGCCGGAGGAACCGACACGGCAGCTGTTACCATCGAATGGGCCCTCTCCGAGCTCATGCGAAAGCCACACATCCTCAAGAAGGCCCAGGAGGAGATGGACCGAGTCGTAGGGCGGGACAGGGTGGTGGACGAGTCCGACTTGCCAAACTTGCCATACCTCGAGTGTATCGTCAAGGAGGCACTCCGGCTCCATCCCTCGGTACCCATCCTCCGCCACGAGTCCATCGAAGACTGCGTGGTTGCCGGCTACCGGATCCCCAAGGGAACGGGTATCATGATTAACGTTTGGGCGATTGGGAGAGACTCAGCAACCTGGGAGAACCCAATGGAGTTTGATCCGGACAGATTCATATCGGCTGGTAACACTTTGGACGTGCGGGGCAATCACTTTGATCTCATTCCCTTCGGTTCCGGGCGGAGGATGTGCCCAGGAATGCCGCTGGGCATCAGCATGCTGCAGATGAGCCTTGGCCGATTCATCCAGTGCTTCGACTGGGGGCTGCCACCCGAGATGAAATCAGCCGAGGAGATCGACATGACGGAGACCTTCGGGCTCACGGTTCCTCGCAAATATCCCTTGCATGCAGTGCCTATTCCGCGGCTGCCGGCCCATCTCTATCAAGCTTGATCCAAACAAAAGGCGAAGTTCCAAACGAAGAGAAAGCGCAAAAAAAAAGAGAGATAACTCTCTCCATCCTCAAGAGTCGTATTTCAATTTGAGTAGTGTGTACATGTCGTGGTTTTAGAAAATGGATGTGGAGCCAGGCAGTCCAAGGGATGTCGGGAGGTCCATCATCCATCAAGAAACACAGGGTGATAATAAATTTATTTTTATGCTTAAATCTATAGAATACGGTGCATTAGCCAGCACTGTCAAGTTATTTGGAATGAATAACAACCGACATGTTTAAGTGATGAAGCCGGTCCAAGTCCTCTCCTCACCGTCAAGTGGTTCACATCTATAGGTGGCTTTTTCAACATGCATTCTGGCATGATCAAACGTGAGGCACAAAGATTTTTGGGAGTGAAGTTCTAAGGTGGCCATTTCCAAATTTTCAAAGATTAACTCTAATGGCCATAACTCTAGTTTGTTTTAAGTAAGAAATCGTTAGCTAACATATAATTTATTATTATTCAGAAAATCATATTTCTAAATGATGGAGAAATGCATTTGGTTTGCTTAAGCAGAGATCGTAGTGGATATACTTAGAATATGCTTGGTTATTCTAACATATTCTACCATCTAACGGATGTTATTCATTTAGATTAATCTTGTATTTATAATTTATAAACATTCCTAAATACTTTCTAGTATATTCTTTTTATTCTACCATCTAATGGTTAATATGCAATAAGATTAATCTTGATTTATAAATTATAAACATGTTTATAATTATTGATCAATTGGATTATTTAAAAATACTAAATAAGTATGACACTACTATTAAGAAAACCAAAAGTTACTGCATGCAATGCACAACAAATTATTATTTTTTTAATTTTATTTTGTGTTTTTTGCAGTATATAATATATCTATAAATAACATTATGTGGTATGTGTTTTTTGTTCTAGTATTATGATATTTAAGTGGTAGTAAAGGCTTTTATCTACAATTTATTGATAGTTTATGTTGATTATTAGGATATCACTTATTTAGGCTAAGTTTTTCTTCAGTTATTAGGTATTGCATTAGGATATCACCTAACTTGCTGTTTTTTTTATGTCAAACATTAAGATCTTCCTACACTATTGATTCTTTTTGTTAATTATTAAGATTTATGTTGTATTAAATTATTAAACTATTTATCACTATTGATTCTTTTTGTGAATTTTTATGTCACTTATTCTACTAATTTTCTTTTATATAATTCAATACTGTCTTCCAAAAAACATAAGACCAAGGGATTTAAATAGGCTGCCAATGTCTTTTATGGTCTCCCCCTCTGGTGTGCCAACTATGATTTGTATTACCAATGATGAAATAAAAGTTAGAACCTAAGAGTTGGAGGTGTTTACAATATGTAAAATAATTATTAATGATGTGGTTCACATCTTATACCTTATCAAAGCAAGAGGGGCAGAATTACAATTCTCATAGGATCTTTGGCTTGGTGTGATATCTTAACTCCACAATGCGTCAATGCTATCTTATTCAGCAACTTGTGAGAATCTTTATTGTTAGGCCTATCCTTTAGAGGATTGTTAGCTAATTTCTTTTTTGTATTGTATTATATCAAATCTGTTCTAAAGGCTTTTCAAATTAGCTTAATTTGCAATACCACATTTGAATGTTTATATTGTGGTAACAAATACTTGTTACCACCCATAAACCTTTTTTTTTTTCACATTGCGTGAACCTAGGTGTGCCATAGAGCAAGCACTAGATGTAGTAGGGATGCCCACACATAAAGATGTGATTGCATAGATGAATAAAAAAAGTGCTCAAAGGCTATAAAGTAAGCAATCTCATCATTGCAATTAGTGTGGACCAAAATAAATTCCATCAACATTTGAAGAGCATAAGCTGGAAGGGAGTATATTCAATTAAGAGTGTAAATGGGGTAGAAGTAATTCTTTAGTAAATTCTGCCATAATGTGAGAATGTTATAATGTGGGGCCTCACATATGCTAATGGAGAGTTGCGGAGTAGGAAGCAGGATGTTGTAGAAAAATAGTTGTTGCATTAACTTACATTTGTCTCAAGAGCATGATTTAGAGGCATCTTGAACCGATAACATGTATACAATATCAAAAGCCTACATTGGCAATAAGTATTTGTGATTTTTTGATTCTTGCCTGATAACTCAGCATTGATTGTGGATAGCTTATTATAGGTTAAAGTTGTGAGGTCTATATTTGCATGGAATCATTGACACTTGCATGTGTAATATTTGTAGGGACCCATTATATAGTGGACATATTTGTGTCAACAAACAAAAACTAATATATGAATACTACTATACAACAATTTTAAAATACAGTTGTGGAAAGCTAATGTGTGGTGATTGGGTGGTAGAGTTCAATGAAATTGAATTTGATATAATCAATGTATAGAAGGGCAAAAGAGGTTTATGTGTTGATCATTCATCACAACTAAATACATTATGCAATAGACTATAGAGACTAATAAATTTATTTTTAGAGAATTAAACACTTTTGAAGGGAGATATAATGTAGAGTGACACAACCCATCAAAAGTTAAACTAATATCTAAATTGATTATATGATTTTTTAAGTCTTTAGTATGTCAAATTTTTTTTTGCATCTTTGAAGTACATTTTAATATGGTTCTATGTCTCATAGTTGAAGTGGCTCCTACAATAAATGAGCATATTGTGCAGGGCAATGCAAGGGCTAAGGAGGTTATTATAGTGCTGTATAGTTGTGGAGGTGATAAGGAATATTCTAAGCATATTTCATAGTATATAGTAAGAGTATATTCTAGAGTTTCGCCTTTCTTTATTCATTTTTGGCACATTATATAGGAAAGAGTGACTTTATAGTTTTCTTGCTCTGTAAATCTAAAAAATTGAGAGAA